TTTTTAAGCGAGATAAAATTGTCCATCTCCGCAATTCTCGCGGTAATTTGCGGTGGTACCGGTCCCATTATCTCCACGACTAAAACTCGATCCGGATTGGCTTTTCCAGCTCAAAGATCGTTTTCTCCGTGACACAGAAAATGCTCACGAAGTGAATACCAAGGAGGATTCGCGTGAGTCAGTGGATTCTGTCATCGCGAGCACGCCCCAGGAATATAAATCGCGGTTACTGGGTAGCGGCCGATTGTCAGCAGCTCGACACCCGTAATGACCATATAAGACGGCCATACGAATTATTATCAATTTTCTGCAAGGCTCGACATATACGTCTCGAGGATATCCGCGATTAAGGTCTATCTGGAAACCGGAGAGCTCTTCTCATGCAGCGAAAACCGCTGTATCGGCCTTTGCGGAAATTTAACGCCACTCGGTCGGCAAAGACGATTCCTCGGCAAAGGCGATACGCTGCGCAGCTCGTGCGACAATTCTAGCGTTGACAATTCTCTCCAGAGAATTATCTCGCATTCCTCGAAGTCCCCGTCACCCTTCCGAAATAGTGAGCTCGATCGGAATGTACTTTTTGAAAATTTGCCAGCGCATTTACGAGCCAGGGGAAATTAGTAAAAATCTATCTCGATTTAATGGAAGGTGTGTCACAAATTGAGTTAACTTGTCGCCAAAATAATAAACAGTTGTTCTTTGAATATGAAGTAGTGTGTCTAGCTGGAATGCGTGCTTTTGACATTTGACATGCCTTCGAGTAAGAATAAATTGATAAAAATGTATCTCGACTTTATGGACGGCTTTTTTCTAACTACTGCCGCCAATATTGTAAAGCGATGATGTTTTCGAAATATAAAATATGAACACATCATTAAACTGGGGTGCACGATTTTGATAATTCGCCAACGTGCCCTGAAATAAAGGGAAATGATTAAGAATGTATCTCGATTTTATATGGAGGGTATCTTGAACTATATTACCTTATCGTCAAAATAATGGGGTAATTTTTTTCAAGTGTCAGAAAACGAGTTAATTAGATAATTGCGGACTCCAGGCGATTGGTTTTGATGCTGTCCCATAAAGTACAAGTAACTTTCCCATAATAGGAAATTTTGTGAAAGTGGTTTGCCACAATACGCTCTGAAAATTGTGGAAACTCATATGAAACGAAGCTTCGGACGGGAAATTGTGTAATTACGAATTTTCAAGTTTTCCCCGTGATTTCTGTACCTGTAAACAAACTGCATTTAAAGTAATGCATGTTACGACGTCTGTCTTCAATTTTTAGAGAGGGGCTTTCAATTCCATTCATTTTGCGTGTGCCCATTTTGGTTGCACAATCTGCTGCTCGGATATCCCGGGGCATTGCGAGGTTTAGGGACTTAGGCGGTATTAATAAACATTACCGATAATTTAGCATGATCCTACGATCGATATGGAATAATCCCGCGACCGGTGAAATGCTGGTAGATGCAAATATGGCATTACCGCCATATTGGTAGCAGAGGCTGCGCAATGTTTAGCGTGAACCACTGACGTCACAGGGCGCCCTCGGCCAAGAGTAATGTCAAATATGCTGTGGTAGCGAATTTATCGATAGCGTATGTACTACGTGCAAGCACGTGTGTACCTACGTTCGTATTAATTGGAATGGAAGCTGCGTCGACGAAGCCCACGCGAGGAACGCGCCAGATCGTAGATCTCGACGCGCGAAGGAATGTCTCGGCTTCTAGCAGGTCGTTAAAATTTATCCTAGTCGTTTTCTTTCCAACTCATTTCAGCACCCATCGATACTGAAAAGTCTTCTCCAAGTACACAATTAACGGCAGAATTTTATAATCAAAATGAACGCACGCTACGAAATTCCGCCCTCTGCGAGAAGGGAAGACGAAGGCTACCGGATGACCTCAAATAAATGTTCATGTCTCAACGAATCATTCCACAAGAAAAATTTAATAGATTTAAAATAAATTAACTGTACGCGAGAGAAATTTATTGAGTTTTAATTGAATTTTTATATGAGAAAAAATTTCTTTTTGAAAAAAGTGCCGTACGAGGTATTGCGGGGGAGAAATGAGCGAGTGGACGTTTACCACGAGCGGGGGAAATTTTTGGTTTCGAAAAAGTGGAACGCGAAGGAGGAAGTAACATAACCGGAGAAACCGAGATCGGGCCGAGATATGCCAACTCGATATAAATTAGCCGCGACAATAACCGCATTGCTGTAAGAGTATGAGCCCGCAATGCATTCCCGTGCACGCGTGGGCTCCTCCAATGGGGGAGAACTCTTGGTACTTATGCGAGCTACCGATTGGCCGGCATTCTTCTCGGTCGGGAGCAGCTAGAATGAAAGATGGCGTTAACTGGCGGTCCAATAAAATTTGACCGGCCAAGAGAGTCGAGATTATGTCATTTGATCTCCCCGATAAGACCGAGTGCATACACATTACGCGTCGTCGCATTACATCAGATATAATTACCGCGGTGAACAACGTGTACGGGGATTTCCCCTGGAGCGCGCGCCGCAGTGGCCGTTTCTCTTGGGCCGCGCGTTCTCATTGGCCCCCGCTGGGCCGACCCGGGAGAAATTTCTCTTTCCTCCTGTGGCATAATGCGACCGGTTTCGTCGAACGGCCGCATTCGCGTTAATTTCACTAATTAAATGCAACGAATCACCCTGCGATCCCTGCTCTCCCGATAGCGATCTGCGATTATTTATTGCACCGCTTTGCAATTGGCGCGGCCTCGTTGCTCGTTGTAGATTCAGTTTCAATCGGCCCTCGTGGAACGATCTCGTGACAGGGCATTAAGTCCGGTACAGGGGAAAGCACTGATAGGACATCGATTATCGATGATTTGCGCGCTCCTCTGATTTAGTGACCGATCTCGGCCTGGTGCATTTATTGTTAGTGCACTCGGATGCATTGCGACACTTCTTTTTGACGACCTTATGGATATTAACGCTATTAACGGGCAATAATACTCGTTGCGACAGTATTTCCTAATGATATAAATGAAAAGGGGATTACTTTGTTTTGGCAAATTCTCATTTAATTCCAAAATGGAATTACTTAATGTTCTTTGCATCACTACGTACAGAATACTGCATAGTTATGAGGTTCGTGTTGGGTGGTTTACTTACTCGTAATTATAATCGAATTATTTTACAAACGTTAGTAATGCCCCTCTAAGTGCAATTTACTCACTGGTAGATCGCGGTGCGTTCTCCTTCGAGGAGGCGGCGAAATACCGGTTAACGGTATCGGCAATGTCGTTAAATAGGTACGGAATGGCGACCGGGTACCGCTGTTCTCAGTTTATTTAAGAGGTTGCCGGTATCGGTAACACACTTAGAAAATTACCGGGAATTAAAAAACTGACCTGTTCACGGATCGGTAAAGGAGATTTTGCGCCAAGGTCGGCGTTGGTTAATGTCGACTGATAGGTTTACATAAGACGGCGACGTCGGTAATTTAAGCACATCGTTAAGGGCGATTTCGGTTTTTATAGCCGACAGGTTCCCCGTCTTTTTTTTATATATACAAATTCATTATGCTTTACAACACACTGCATGAATTACTGTACGCTGTACGAAAATACTCCTTCATTAGTTTTCTATTCTAATTAATCCATAGTATAAATTTCTGTACATGGGCGATAATTTTAGCTTGATTATGTTATAACTAATTATGTTAACATATCGTGAATTCGACTTAAAAATATCGATGGCGATCGATGTAAACCATGTTTAAAAATTTTCAAGGATAATTGTCCGAGGTCGGATTTGCAGCATTCTAATTGAATTAACCTATTTTAATATATATATTAATTAATTTATATGTACAGGTGAACAAATTTCCACCCGATATCGTAACAAATTGCGTTAAAATTACTGGGATGCGATGTATGATCCTAGAAATAATTACCGCGTCCAATGTAAACTTTTCTTAAAAATCCGACGCGAGTCTTCAAGGTCGATCCGTTCCATCCGATAGTTGTCCGAGGTCGGGGACGAAGCTGCAGCCGCTGCGCCTCCGACCGAGCTGGGTACCAGAAGGTCTCTCGGCAGAAATGTCCGATCAATTAGCGCAAAACTGGTTTCCTTGGGCAAATGGCCTGACGATAACTTGTGCCAACGACCAAGGGTTACCCTCGACGGCTTTGGCCTTACTTTTGCGACGAGAGAGTCGCGCAAATACCGCCTAAACCGCGTCTCTGCTAGACCCTGAAAATGTCTACCTTCTGAAAATTCAATTGTCCAGTAAATTTCTTCATGTACTTTATATATCCAATTTTCTAAACGTTTTTCATTCATGGTTTTACGTTTAACGTGTGCATCGTCTCGTGATCTATCGTGATCCTTTGCCGTACTTTACCGAGTATCAACGTCAAAGCACCAAGAGAAGGTCATCAGTGCGGAGAAAATAGATCCACGTTTTTCCCTCGGCAAGAAGAGACAAAGTATTCCGCCAGACCGGGGCGAAAGGCATTAAAATTGAAATTGCCTTTCTTCGGCAAACAGACGCGAGATAACTCGAGCAAACAGCCGGTCGGACTCATCGCTTGTATATTCCCTTAAACTTGGGAGAGCTGGATGAAGATATTAAAAGAAATTCAAGAATGACGAATCTTAAGCAGATTGATATCGTACTCTCTTTTAACTTAATTTCCCCTAATTCTCGGTGCATTCACCTAGATGTGCATCCACTAATTTATTAATTCGAATTGCGGTTGGAAGAATGGAAATCAGCTGATAGGGTGCATGTACCGTGCCGGATATGAATGCCTCCCCTGCAGATACGGCATCGCCTGTGCAGGATGGGAGGGCATTGATGTCTCCCAGTGTACAATGGCGGACATAAATGCCTCCCCTGCAGATACGGCATCGCCTGTGCAGGATGGGAGGGCATTGATGTCTCCCGGTGTATCTTTGGGAAATAGATGTAGGAATTTTAGATGTTTAGCGGAAATTTAATCAGACCGTTCTCTGTTTGCAGATTCACAAGATGTCGACCTGGATGCGATCCTCGGGGAATTGTGTGCCCTGGAACGTCGTTGCGACGGCGACATCGCCGCGACGCCTTCCGGAGATGCCCAACGTCCGGGTCGACCAAACAGCACGAGGATCAATCAGGGAGACGGTAGCGACATCGGCAAAAATGAAGGTGGTGAGTGTCTTCAGGAATCTGGATCCATTTTGTGTCGCATGAAGATTTATCGATCTCACGTTACGTGTGTCCGGAGTATTTGACAAATTTAGAAACGCTCGGTTATATGAAAAGACATCACGATCATCCAAGAAAAAGGAACAGATTGCGATAGATAAAAACGTGTCGATTCGTCGCCTGACGATTGATCTTCTTCAGGAATGCGAACGGACAGTCCGGACAACGACAGTGCCTTCTCGGACACTGTGTCCATGTTGTCCAGCGAGAGCTCGGCGAGCAGCAGCGGATCAGGACACAAACCACCTCAGACCGCCATGCACACAACCCCTCAACAGCAACCCCATCAACTCATGGGTAAGATGCAAGAATTTGTGTCATGGATTCAAGAAATGACTAGCATTTTCTAAGTGCCGGACTCATAAGAATTTCCTGTAAAAAAAGGTTTCGTTTGACTTGCAGAAAAGAATTTGGTCCATTTAACGAGATCGTTAGATCGACTTTCATCTTGTTAATTTCATAAAGCGTCTTGGTCGAGCGAGCCGAATTTCAGTTTGCTTCGATCAGCCAAAACGTTTTGATTAAGTCATTTTGTTAATTTTAGAAAATATTGCACAGAATATACCGAATATCTTGGTTAAATGTACCGAGTAACTTCAATACATATTTAGGGCGATTAATCAAAGATTAATCGACTCGACCAAATATTTTTCTGCGCGAACGTAGACAGGGATTTACCGCTCGCGAATGGACAAATGATCAGCATGGGCCTTTCCAAGAATTTTTTGCTGTTCGAAAGAACTGGAAACAACGTGAAGAGGTTCACGAGAAATTGTGTTTCCTTCAGATGCTGCTAGCAGAGCCAAGGCGGAGAAGATTCGCCTGGCCCTGGAGAAGATGAGGGAGGCCAGTGTCCAGAAACTCTTCATCAAGGCCTTCACCCTAGACGGTAGCGGGAAAAGCCTCCTCGTGGACGAGGGCATGAGCGTCGCTCACGTTTGCAGACTGTTGGCTGACAAGAATCACGTGCCGATGGACCCAAAGTGGGCAGTAGTGGAGCACCTCCCCGACTTGTTTATGGGTGAGCACTCCTCTTCCGGAACTCCTTCCCAGAACTGGAGACCCTGAAGAGGCATTCCTAACGCTTGTTTTTCCCCAACAGAGAGAGTTTACGAGGACCACGAGCTGTTGGTGGAGAACCTGCTTCTGTGGACGAGGGACTCGAAGAACAAGCTGCTCTTCGTGGAACGACCCGACAAGACGCATCTCTTCCTCAGCCCCGAAAGATTTCTTCTGGGTCCATCCGACAGGAGCACCGCCGAGTACGACGACCATTCGAGGAACATCCTCCTCGAGGAGTTCTTCTCGAGCAGCAACGTCGGCGTGCCCGAGGTACCTATCAGATCATTGTTTAACTTTGTTCTTTTTATATTTTTTTTATGTTGACCCTGCGGCTTCGTTCGCTATATGTGCAAGTATAAATTTGTAACAAGATATTATACCCCCTTTCATCCCCTGAATAAAATGTACCCTCCAAATTTGCCGTTTCTAGGCTTAGCGGTTTTGGCTGGATAGTCAGTCAGTCAGGGGGCTCTTATATATATAGATTATGTATTTTTAGGTGCGCGATATTAATAGCCTCTGCTTTTTAATCCTACCAGGTCGAGGGGCCACTGTACCTGAAGTCGGATAGCAAGAAGGGCTGGAAGAGGTACCACTTTATCCTGCGTGCCTCGGGACTTTACTATTGGCCCAAGGAAAAGGCCCGAACAGCTAGAGATTTGGTTTGTCTGGCGACGTTTGACGTCAATCAAGTATACTACGGAGTGGGTTGGAAGAAGAAGTACAAAGCACCAACCGATTTCTGCTTTGCCGTGAAGCATCCTCGACTTCAACAGCCGAAATCTACAAAGTACATTAAATTCCTTTGCGCCGAAGACAACGCGTCCTTGGAGAGATGGATGGTCGCCATCAGGGTCGCGAAGTATGGAAGACAGCTGATGGAGAACTACAGGACCCTGGTGGACGAGCTAGCGCAGGAGGATCTGGACCTTTTAGCTCATGCCCGATCATGTTCCGTCAGTTCCATCGCCGTACCACCTAACCAGATGCAGTACAATACGACTAATGACAATGCCAGACAGTTTACCGAGATTTCGAGGCACACGACGACGAACGACACGAGACAATACGATGGACAACAGACACGACCGAACTATAATCCGGAGCAAAGGCAAAGCTACAATAACGATGGTAGACTCAGCAGAGCCAGTAGTTCCAGTTCCAGTGGATGTCTATCGGATGGGGCACCAAGTAGTTGCGAGGTAATTATGCATTGGTGTAGAAGTGTCGTTCAGCTTGCTAGGATGTGTAGAATAAATTAATTGTTGGGCCGTATTGGAGATAGATGACGATCGTTTCTGGCCTAGAAATTAATTAAGTACGTGTTTTGTTGAACAGGTGGCTTTCGAGTGCGGCGAGTTCCCCACTGGGACGATTAAGAGGAAGCCTTCGATGAACCCAAAGCTTCCCTTGACATCCATCACTCGACAGCTGAAGGAAGTCGGAGAAACGGTCCGCGACGAGCCCGACTCTTGTCCGAGTCCTACGAGCTCAGGGTCAGGAACCTTGACTCGAAGGCACAGCAGAAGAAGAAGCGGTACCGACTCCGATGGCTCTGGGACCTTGAAGAGACACCACAGGTCTGGAAACGCCACTCCTGTTAGTCCAGTTCCTCCGAGCACTCCCGTGAGGGAGAGGACCAGTCCTATGGGCTACACCAGGACAGACAGTCAGGAGGCGAAGACACCTACTAGTCCGATACAGCCTTGTATGGTGGGTGTTTTTCATGAGTACTTCTTACAGTAACCCGGTTTATTCTAATCAGGAGAGCGAAACCGTGTTCAACTATAGATATACGCAGAACTTGATTCCGTAGCGAGTTTGAATACTACATAGAGGCTATTATCGACGAAGTTATGAGCAAGAAACTTAATCGGATGTCTTCGGTGTGTTCTCCAGATGGATTCCATAGTATCTCTGCCGCCACCGCCTTCCCCGCCGAGAGTAGCAGAAGAAGCAGAGTCTGATGGAGAACCGCTGCCGCCGCCGCCTCCGGAAATGTTCAGATCGAATCTCTCGTTGGACTCCCTCCCACCCCCGCCAGCACCTGGAGAATTTCCGATGTGCAATACACCGGAACTCACGGGATCTTCTCTCAGCCTGGCTTCTCTTCCACCACCCCCCAGCCCTCTGGTCGGGGAGACCGGAACCATAAGACGAGCCAGACCCAAGCAGGCGACCCCAACGAATCCCTTATCTCCAGACAGCACCCCAACCCACAGTCCAAGACCAGCGGCCAATCAAATCTACTCGAGTATAAATCCCACGATTCAAAGTAGTCCATCGCAGCCCAATCAAACCTATTCCTCCAGTCAACCCCCTGTCACCGGCAACGGCGCCAATTGTTCGCCTCACAATTCTTACCCCGGTTCAAATGCAAGTACCCCAACATATGCCCCTAGTTCCCCCAATTTCAGCACGCCTCCTCCATTCGTGCCGCCCCCTGCATATGGAACGCAGCAAACAAACTCCCAGCTCTCCAGGCAGAACTCCAAAACGGAGCCCGTTTACGGGGTTCATCAGGGTCTCCATCAGGCGGTCCAAGCCATAAGGCCCAATCCCAACATGGACACCGTTAGGAGAAGTGCCATGAAACAAGGCTCCGGGCACTATGCAACTCCTCCATATCTCGCGGAGCTTAAAGCCGCTTCGAGTCCTCAACCCCAGCGTCGGGTGACGATCCAAGAGCCGCCGACGTCCCCAAAATCGAAGACAGGTACAGGGAAGAAGATCACGTTCAATCTGCCACCCCAACAGGAGCCTGGAAGCCCTGCCCTACCGCAACGCAAACCCATGCCTCCCAGGAGATCCGACAGTACGAGGTTGACTTCTCCCAAGAAGCTCGCAGCTTCCGACCAAGCCCCACCTGGAGACTTCCTGAAAGACCTACAGAGGGTCATGAGGAAGAAGTGGCAAGTCGCGCAGAAGTGTAAGCTGGATTCGACCACTACGCCTCATGAGGTTCTGGGATTCAGGGACCCGCCCCCGGCCATTGCTGATTATCGCGAGACCAACGTGTCCAACTGGGTCCAAGAGCACTATGGAACTGACAATTTATACGAGAACGTCTACACGACGGATCCCAATGCTCCTGTCGAGTACGCATCCAGTCCTGCCCATCAGCCTGGCACCGTTAGGTTTGCCGACGAGAACCGGTGCAACAATATCGCCAGCGCCATCGCCAGCAAGAGGAGACCGCCGCCACCACCTCCGAAAAGGGCGGAGACCACGCATTTAACCAGCAGGGCGATGCACTGACAATAGCAGAGAGTCCAATCCCACCCTGAAAGGAGGTGGTATTGCTGTCTCTGCAGCTGGTGGAAGGACTGAGACCACTCACGGTGGACGTTTCTTGGTCCTTTCTGGAGAACCTGGAGAACCATTGTTTCGTCCACTGGAACCTGAAGCGAGGCACCGTGGATCTGCTTGAAAAGCAGGGACGAGCTCGACCCCGACTAACCGAACGAATCCTATAGTGTATTATCGATAATCGTCATGGATCATGGATTATATGTATCATTATCGTGTTATGTATCTTGTTGAGGTTGAGCTTCCATGTGGTGCACGTTACCAAGGTGTGCGTCGATGTCCTTGTAACGATGCTCAGGGACCGATCTGGCTTGGAGAACCTCGAAGACCTTGTCTCGAGGACCTCGATGATCGGAAGTACTCCGGACAACTTGGGATAGGTCGGGGCTGCGACCTAGAATATTGATAGAAGTTTCTTGAGCAACCTCGGACATCCTTCCTGGGAATCTTGGTTTCGAAAACCCAGGGGCACTATAGAAGACCCAGGGTAGCTCGAGGACACTGCCAAGGAAATGCCGTTGAGTGATGGGGACGCTGATCCTGAAGATGTTGGGCTTTGCAAACCCCTGAAGAGGCCCAGAACGCAACCAGGACTCGCTGTCTAGCTCACAAGGAAACACTGCCGCACACGTTAAGGATGTGATATAAACCCTAGGTCAGCTTTATCAACGCATCGGACGAGTCGCCAACATATTACCGTGGGTTCTGATACGCATTTTTACGCAAAGGGGACACGCGGGGAACACGCAGACGTGCCGCGCGGCCCCAGGTGGAGTTAAACACGGAAAACTGGATAAGGTCTCTTGACTTCACCTGGAGTCGACGATGCTGATACTCCAGAACATAATGGTGGACCGCAAATCATACACAGTCATATCGACCTCTCGTGATATCTCCGATCATCTTTCCACCCCTGTCGAAAGTTCGCTGATCGTCAGGCTCCCGGTTTTGCGCGAATTTGGGATACCTGTCCAGTTTGATACGAATTTGGGAAACCTCCGAATTATCAGATTTATAAAGTAAGCTAATACGTGTCCCCAATGTGGCTGCCGAGCCCGCTGGCTGAACGGTGGGCCTGCTACTTTTGCATATTTTGTAACGCGCAAAGGAAAAAGTTTTATAATCAAGGTGCTTTATATATGACATATACACTGTGACTCTACGTTAGGATTAAACGCTGTAATATGGTATATATATACATAGGCATACACACGGAATCGCGCGCATAGGTAGTTAGGTAGTTAGGAACCTCTTACATACGGTTTATACCTTAACGAGACCGTGGAAACGTGTAAATGCGGAAACGCGATAATACGAAACTTGATGTGCGATTGAAATTAACTTAAGACCGAAGCATACGCGGTAAACCCGGCAAATCGATGACCACGCGAGTTCCATCACCACGCGACACTCCCACATATTATAACTGAGATCTCGTTTATGCCATTTTTTGATAACGATATACATAAAGCATCGCAAGTGTGACTCGTCAGGCTCGAATCGAGTACCTTTACGTAGAGGTGCGAGTCTTCTCTTTTCCCCGATGCAAGTACGCGAGTGGTCGATGATAGTTTCTGCGTCGAGTCGCGGCTTAATCGAAGGAGGGTCTGCCTTCGTTAAAAGTCCCATTGTCGAAATTTTCCCCTCCCTTTCTATTAGGAAAAGTGAGCCCTTATTGTCGTGCGTCTTCGAAAACGAAGTGCCTAGAGTTTCGCATTGGCCCTCGAGCCTGAGGTACTTTAAGAGTCCGGGTCGAGTCTAAATTTTCAATTAATTGATTAAGGGCCTCCATGATGAACCCTAACGAAGGGTTTGCATAAATTTTAGGCGAATTACTGTAGCTAGCTATTGGCACTTTTCCATATACTCGACATTTTGGTCCATTGGTAGCTGTACCGATATTAGCATCGAAGGGCGTGGACTGATTAATTCGACGTCGATTATGGACTTAATCAGTCATGTTACCTCAAAATTCGCCGGAACTGATGACCGGAAAACTGCCATGATTTAGGGTCGAGTTTTAGACTAGAGATTTTCGCGACTGCTCGAGTACTTCGCGGTCTTAGTTTTAAGAATTGTACGCGAACGTGCGTGTACCTAGCCGATTAATTGCGAGGTACACCACGGGATAACCCCTCGTCGGGGCGAGTAGTTATACAAAATCGAGAGGAGAACTTTTTGGGACTAATCGATTAAATCGAATCCCATGATAGGTAAAAACGAAGGACCCGTATCAAATTTCTATTCGTCTTAAGGTATACGGCTAAGAGTACTTTTTGGATCCCTCGAAGTAATACTCTTCACGTCCACGTATGAGACTGGTTAAAAAGGAAAAAGGGAGAAATTACGAAAATTAAGTGCGATGCTCCGAAGGGGTAACCTACCGACACCTCTTCACTTTTCGAACTTTTTCGAAGAGGAAGGCTTTAGGGAAGAAGCACGTCCTAACTTTACGAGGAACTTTATGATTGGCGATTTACGGCTCCCGTTTGATGGGACTAGATAGCGCGATACGTGTAATCAAATCGAACCAATTTACCGATCCCGGAGACTAAACCGATGTGTCTGGATGTTTAATCGATATGCAGTAACGGGAGGAACATTCATGTAATTTCGTAAATCGTGAGCATGTGTGTACGTGCTTTCGCATGAGATTTCCGAAATTGGTGTCTCTTTGGTTCTTTTTTTCTTCTTTTATTTTATTTTATTTTTTTCATGCGAAGACCTAACGGGCAGCGCGAAGCAGGTTAGACAATACGGTTCGATAATTTGTCTGATAAAATTGAGAGATTTTTATTTTCATTCAATGGGGTCGTCAGGAATGAATTGTTCTTTTTAACGACGAAGCGCGAGAAGAGGGATTTGAAAGGTTCGACGGAAACGTTCATTATTTACATGTTTTTCTCTTAATTATTGCGGGTCTCGTGGCCTCCCTTAAGGCTTGCGAGGAAAATAGAATTTTGATTTTCCCAATTTAAATCGAAAACGGTAACGATTCGTCGGAGCAAAGATCTCCCGTGGGATGTTAATTCTCAGTGCAATTGGCGAAAGTGTAACTCGAAATTTTGACTAATCTGTAGCGGGCGATATAATATTTTCTACTATATCGTAATATTTCCTCTTAACTTCTATCTCTTAAGTTGTACGTACGTTTGTGTAAATATTGTAACGAATGGTACTACGAGGATGAAAATTATTATCGAAGATATTCGCGAGCGACTAATATAAACAGACTATTTATGGACGAGAGAGGGAGATAGATTGCGTTTGAAGAAATTCTTTGTCAGGAGTGATAAGGAGGAAATTTTCGATAATTGGCGATTAAGCCTCTTTCCCGAGGAGGTAGTGCTGGTAAATGCAATTTCCTTGGGTCTTGACATAATATGCCCGGTTTGTACGCTGATCTATTTATGCGAATGGACGAGACTCGTTTTCAAGGCTTTCGAATTTTTTCTGCCTGTACTTTATTTGTCTATACTTCGGTAGAGAGTAGAGTTTTAGTCCTTTTTACAGGTTCTTTCATCGATGCGAGTGTGTTCGACTTTAGGATTGTGACAATACCATTATTTTGAGACTCAATGCCAGTTGTTCGGGTACGATGCTGAGGAAAGCGCGCTGCGGTTGAAATATTATAGGTATTATATTCATGTTTTTATGTAAATAAATTTTTGGTATATTTCAAACATTGGTCGGTCTCCTTTATCGTCGCTGTTTTTTATTTTTCGAATTTAGTTGTTAAGTAAGTCGAATTCTCCCTGTGGAAAGAAAAGAAGCGTTTTCAAGAGGTGTCGATTATTATTCCGAAAGAAAAATTGTCTTTCGGAAACTATCAGGAAATCTCGTTTGTCTTTAGCTAGTCACTTTTTCGTAGGTTTCATTTTTTGTTCTTAATGCTTATCTCCACGTTGCTAAACATTCAATGACTACGAATTTATACAACTTATATCCACACTTCATCAGGAAACTCGGTGGAGCTTAGCGCCAAATACATTTAAAAGCTTGCGCGAACGGCACTGAATACTTAACGCCAAGATTCGGCGTAACAATTCGATAAATATTTATTTCTTACAATTTATATTGCGGTTTCTGAGATGTCTTGGAATTTTGAATACTCAAAGAGATTAAAGCTTACTTCACTCACCTGGTATACCAGAACTTCGATGGTAACTTACCGACATTTTTTATGCAGTTTACTGCAGTGCTGCAGTTTCAGGTTCGACTCATCGCTGTTAGAGTGAGTTACTGGATAGCCGACAAGAAGACAAAAAACTGTCTTACGTTACTCCAAATGGCTAGAACTTTAGTTTTTATTATAATAACATTATTAACAACTCAGTAAGTTAAAGTACTTCACACTTTGCTCAGGACAGTTATAAATTACATCTTATCTTCATCTCTTCGTGTTACAGGTTTTCAGTTAATCGGTGAAAAGCAATTTCGATTACTCCGAAAAAGTCGCTAGATATTTTGGATTAGAATACCGATAGTCGGTACAAAACGTTTCGAGAATGTCGATAAGTCGATCCGCAAGCAAGCAAGCATCGGGCACGAGTCATATCGCGTGCGACAAGTGCACTTGTATATGCATTGATCAATGCTTCGCATAGCCATGGCCTGGAGGTTCGGTCGGCAAAACAAATAACACACGTCGGGCCAGGTTGCGCTATCATTACCGTTTGTCGGTAACGGCAATTTCCCATTCGGAATACATTCATTCGGCCAAATGATATCCACCGCTAAATTGCCTCTCGGAGTTGCAACTTGTATCCTTCCTGGCAAACGATTTACGCTCCCCCATTACCCACGGACAAGTACAAATTAAATTTGACGTTTTGCGCAAAGAGGGAGCAAAAAAGAATCTCGGAATCCTCGGGCCGCGAGAGAAACGCGGCCGATCATTCTTTTCCTCTCTTTCTTCCCTCCGAAGTCTAGAAAGATGACCCCGTAACATCCCGTGCGAAAAGGGAAACACTTCTCGGATATCTAGACGACCCGTTCCAAACTTCTAGTCTTCCTCGTTCTTATCAAATCGTGGCGAAAAAAAAAACGGGGGCACGTATTTCGAAACAAGGTATTCCGTTCTTCTTCCGTATTCCAATAAACGACGGAGGTATCGAATAATCTAAGTCTTATCCCGGGGAAAAAGTCTGTTTCGAGACGTACATTTACATTCACGGGCGATTTAGCCATGCCTAATGCATCATTCAAGTTTTATACCTCCCAGACCGGCGGGTCAAAGAAAACGTAAAAAAGACGTAAAAACCGTCGAGTCATCTTGATATCAGGACGATATCACGGTGTGCGGGGCGACGGAGATAGAGCGGAACTCCATTTACGGGTTTTCGTCGCGACGTGTACAGGGATTCGTATATCTGTATATCGGCCCCCGTGGCCTAGGTACACCGCAGCCAGTGCGCATATAAATGTGCACGTATATATGTATATATATATACACGCTTCTAGCCGTAAAAGCGCCTTAATAAAATGCGTTCGTTTCTAATACCGCCCTCGCGACGAGAGGGGTTGCCAGCCATACATAAACTTTCACTAGATTGAATTTTTCCAGCGGCGGGCAAAAGGCCCCGCAGCCAATGGCTGCTTTCGTTACGCGGCCTACCCTCTTATTACGCATTACACGTACCACGTCTTGCGTACGTAAATAGGCGAGGGGAGAGGTTCGATCGCTTTCGAAAAGACCGCGCTCGCGTTTCTCCGCCGGACGTTTCTTCTCTTGAGCTATATTTAGAAAAGTAGCCCTAAGCCTGGCGTACCGAGGCTTCCTTCGTTCAAAATGGCGGACCTCCGCTTTGCGCTCTCTGTCCTCGTGCCTTGACCGAAATGAAATTCCTCCAATTTCCTGGAAGGTCTTGTTATATTTTCAGCTGGTTGTAATAAATACTATTAGGGTCGAGGTTACGATTAAATGGCGTTCGGCTTATCAGGGCATATTATTTCAGGATTAAATAAGGGCACGTTATATCACGATTTAATGGTGTCCTTGATATTGGAAAATTAAAGCGAAGTTAAGCGAAAGACGAATTAGAAATGCTCGCGATGATGAATTAGCATTGAATCTCGATTTTATTTTGCATTCTTGGCAATTATCATTTTATAATATTTTCTCGGTGACTGGGAAGATAGCACGGTCATGAAATAACAAGATACACGAAAGGCGTGTTGACGTGCACTCCCATGTTACACTTCTAAAGGAAAAGAGGAGCTCGGTTGAAGACGCCAGCCATTCTAATTCGGGGGAATGTGCAGAAGGACAGTAAAAATTGTGTGAGAAGATATGCGAAGAGAAGGTGGAAGTGCTCGCGTATATACGGCGGGGACGGTAAATTCGAATATCTCGGGTCGCGCGGGAATAGAAATGGCGCGGGTAGGAATTTCAAAAGTGGCGCCAATTTCGGGAAGCGGCCGTCCCCAGAGGCGCCGCGGAGAGTTGCGACGCTCTTTCCGACACGGCCTGGGATTTCGGTTACAGCGGAGCCCGGTGCTCCGCGGTGATTGGATCGTAAAAGCGGGGGACATTGGTAAGGCAGGTCGCTCATTGGCCGGCCGAAAATCGGGGAGAGTCGCTCCTCTTCCTCTTCCCGGGGAGAGACTTTACAATATTCTTCCTGGAAGTGCGGCTAATTAAAATCGATCGGCTAGCCCCGGGACGTGGTCTCCGTTCACTTTGGGCGCCATTTTTGCGCAACCCTACTTCTCGCCTTGAGCTATGCACGCGGAGTTTCTTTCCTTTTGCCGAATCTAGGGAATACATACTCCGCGGAAAGAGGTCCTCCGAGCGATCTCGTAACTTCGGATCGAAATCGCACGTGATGAGAGACTGTAACGGGATCTTCGGAAACCTCTAGGTCCGCCATCTTTCCACCTGCAACGGTCCTGCGAGAGATGAAGAGTATACATATTTTACAAACGTAATACATATTAAAAGAAAAGAACTTACAATGAGAAGGCAAGGTATAAGATTGATAAATTTAGGTGTGATCAATTAAATTAATGATTACAAATTTAGCTTCTGGCATGAATATTATTCCAAGTACGTATTCGTTCTATAATAATAATACGATAGAATCTTGTAAAGTTCAGTTTCATCCGCCATTTTAGCGTGACGATTTCGAGTACCTGGAAATATCCGCGTAGACAAACCTAACCTCGATATTGCATTTAAAGTTAATTTTCAGCTTAGGCGTGTATTTTTCCCGTTACTCTTTTCGCTCTCCTCCGAGAGAATCTCCGTCCGAGCACTTTCCTCGTTGTCTGGCGTTCCCTTCGGTGCCATAACGGACAATAAAGACGTTCCTCATTACCGGAAAGTGTGAGAACCAATGGCGGCGTTCCGGCGTTCGGTTCGCGGCCGCGTCGGGAACACCGCGGAACCGACGCCGCCTCGCTCCCCGGTGTTTGCCGACGGAACCTCGTTTTGCTAATTCGCTAACGACCGTAGCTAGAGCTCGACCCGCAAGCTCGCTGGCTCGCGAGAGAGAAGGAGAGAGACGGGAGGGAGAGCGGCCCCCGATTACAAGTTTAAGGTAGCCGCCATCAACGGCACCGGACGGCGTTCGCCTCGTAAAATTATCCGTAATAAAATAGTGATTTACGCCCGCGTTCCTGGAAAGCGGACCGGTCAAACGCTCATGACTCCGAGCGACGAGGTGCTCGGTCGACTGACCTTTAAGTAATTATTATTTTCGCGAAATCCGCCGACGAGAGTCGAGGACTCACCTCCGCTCTTTGTCCTCGAAGGCGCGGCGATCGGGGAACGCCGGCTAGTTCGAGACGCCGCCGCTGGGGCGCCACCGGCGCCCTCCCGGCGCCGCGGTCGAGCCTTCGACCAAGGAGATGGCCCGAAGGTGACTCTTTGTCACGTCGGATTCCTGACTCGTGATCTACGAAGGAAGGATGGAGGGTATTGTAGAGAGAAACCGAAGGCGTAAGAGGGAGGAACGAATGGCGGCCATCTCTCGTTGTCAGGGTTTTTCCCTGTTTTAAGGTGAAATAAGACACGTCGAGAGATTTGATCGGTAAAGCGTCGGTAAAAAGTTTCTTCTGAATACATACCGTATCGACTTTCGTATTTATATTAACAGCTTTGTTGAATTATATCCAAAATCCAAATTATAAAAGTGTCAGAATAATTACAAGATACTCGCGAGTCATGTGTCAAAGTTTCAGACAGTGTGGTCCAATACTTTAAAGAAACGTGTTTTATTCGAATCGATCGAATTGAAGGGGTTTCACTTCACCTTAAATGGACGTAAACACAATCTAGGTTGAGGCCATGCGAGCGTCAAAATCGACGTGCGTTACGACGGACGTTGGATTTTAACAAAGCACGTCGCTCGTGTGTCCACCCGAATGGGTCATAATATATTTGTACGTCGGACGTAGAAACGGCGCTAGTATCGCTCTGGTCTTAATCTACACCGTAATTGTTCCTGTCATATGCAATTGGTATGCCCTTAAAAACAATGTCCAATCCAGTTTCGCAATTTTCATTGCTTTTAGTACGTGCTTTATTGTATTTAAGAAAAAACGCCATATGTGCATTTCGGTTGCCGGTGCTCATGAATTCGAGATTGCGTCCACGTGCGCAGCAACGTAAGATGGCCCCTAAAGTTCCCTCTCCTTGCGTCTCGGGCTTCACTCCCCTCGTCCGTAATCTCACTTTATGCTC